CGACAGGCATGCCCTCCCACACAGTCATCGGGGAACAGGAGAGAGGCATTGCAGGCATATGGACAAGAATAGAAACAATGCACAGAAAAACAGCAAAAATGCCGTTGCAGAGTCCGATGGGTGACTGTGGTGCGCAGCAGCAGCGGCCCCACGCCCTCCCTCATCGACCAGCAACGCACACGTCTTAATTTCATTTAGTGAAAGCCACAGAAGGGCGTTATCGTTTTTTTACCCCTAATGTTTTCTCAAATAAATTCTGCGGCACGCACAACAGCCACCATCGCGGAACACGTCCTCATTACTGAGTAAAAATCTGAATAGGAGCCCCGACATCCGGAGAGGGCGCTGCAGCGGAGGGCGTGCAACACACACCCGTGACACAGCCGCCCTAGGCTAGCGTGATAAATCGATAATCCGTTTTTGCCAAAATCGACAAAAATAAAAAAAAAATTCAATCAACCAAGCGTCCAATAAATAATAATAATAAAGAAGTAAACACACTTCCAAAAGCATCCACTTTATGCCGCATCCATGAGGAGCCTCGTACACTCTCGCCACGTGGAGGTACTGTTTGGGCAGACACTTTCCAACTCCAGCAGAAACTGCGCTAAATTTTTCGTCAAGCGGAGCATCTTCACCTGTCCAAAGAAGCATGATTAATGCTGCAGCTCGCACTGGATGCACGGTCGAGCAGGCTCAGGGCGTCGGAGCGGGTGTCACCGGCCATGAGCTGCAACAACACCGCAGGTGGTCGGTAAGACGACGCAACGGTGGTGCCTGAGGCGTAAGACGATGATGTCATGTCGTGAGGCTTCTGCGTCTCTTCGGCGCTCTCCTCGCCATCGCGCAGCAGTGCCTCCAGCCCACCACGATGCGGCTCGCGCAGCTCCTGCCAGTGGCGGTCCTCCGCGTACCACACAACGACGCTGTACACAGCGATCGCAAGCAGCACAGCCGCCATGCAGAAGTACTGGACGTGGCAGCCTCCCACGGGCGAGTGCACAGCCGCAATCAGGCCCACCACACACAGCACCGACAGCTGGAACACGCACCAGTACACGCGGCTGCCCCTCATGTTCGTCAGCATGCCGCCGTACATCCGCTGCTGCGCCGCGGGGTGCCAATACCCGACGGGGTACAGCAGGCGCTCGTGCAGCGGCTTCCTCGAAAACTGCCAGTACTTCGTGAAGCTCGCACCCGTGTGGCGGGCAATCAAGTAGCACACGCCAGCAGGAAACGCCACACCGTACAGCACGCCAACGACACCAACCACGCGGTGCTGCGCGCGGGCGCCGGGCATCGCCAGTGCGAGCACGGAGCCGAAGAAGATGCCGAGGTGCATCGCGTGCGCCACGACGTACGTCAGGCTCGGGAAGCGCATCGCCGCCCACGCACTCGCCGCGTCCACGCCGCGCCACCGCTGGAAGGCCGCCGTCACACCGCAGTGCACGCACCCAAACGCAGCGGCAAGCAGCGCGTTGCCCACCACCATCCACAGCGGATCAAGGGCAGCGAACACCGACAGGAAGTACGGCAGCGCAACGGTGCTCGCACGCTCCTGCGCCGAGGCGCATGACATCCTCGCAAACACGCCGAGCGCCTGCATCTCCAGGATGGAGCCCAGCCCGCCGGTCACCACGACGCCAACAGCCGCCGCACCCGCAACGACGCCGGTGATCGCCGAGAGGGCGCTGGCAGCGGCGGGCAGCGTGTTCGACCTGATCGTGAAGGACCCAAGCAGCACACCCTTGCAGCCGCCGGACACCGCCACAGCATCGCAGCGAATGACTAGCGTCTCGTCGGCAGCAATGAAGTAACCCCGGTGCACGGGCACAGCCAGCTCCAGGACGGTGGACGGATTCGTCGCGTTGCGCACCCACGTCGCGTTGCTCAGCATTGCTCCCCACGGACCGCCAAACCCGCGAGGCTGCGCCGTCGACACCGGCACAAAGCTCAGGTGCGTGCCGAGCTGCGGGTCGCGTGCCCACCGAAACGGCGGCGGCAGCGCCACCATCAGCAGTGTCGGGACGGCGCTCCCACCGCCGCGAATGTCGTTCTGCGTCAGGCTCCCGCCATCCGTACCATGTCGCTGCCGAGTGGAGATGTGGAAGAAAATCCCTGACCCTGTCTGCGGGGGGTTGCGGTGGAACGCCGCCGACCTCACTCTGGTAAAACGTCTGGCGCTGAGCATGATGATGCATAAAGAGAACGTTTTGTTTTGTGCGATGGGTGGGACGAAGATGTCTCTTACCCTGAAGCCACTATTTTAGGCCTGCCGGAGCCAGCACCAGGAACCACAGCACTTCATGAATGCCCTCAATGTGACAGGCGGGCGGGCAATGCCGGAGCCTCGGCCAGCCACGCCCGGCACAATCTGTCCGATGGTGAGAATGTCACGACGCCAAAATGGAGCTACAATGCACGCGCCGTAAGGCTTGAACCACAAGGGGAAGAAGGCCAATCCCGCACAGCGACTTTGCCTCGGAAAGCGACTCTCTCCTCCGCGCAAAAGGAGAATGCCACCGAGAAACAGTGCACTGTGTGCCTAAAATGTTAGGCGCACATCCATTCATCAACGTCCCACTGTCGCCGATTCCAGGACGGCAGAGGGTCAGGCCGCCGAGAAAGCGCACGTTGCCCGGCGATGACACCCCGATGGGATCAACACCGGCCGAATTTCCCCGTCCAACGTGCAGCTTTCAGTGCCACAGCAGTGACGGACTGACCCGCCACCGCACGGCATGCCACGGGCATCAACCAGACATCGTGAAAAACAGCCAACGTGAACTGTGCGAGGAGACAAGTCCGCACCTACTCCGCTGCCCAGCTCTGCAAGCACCTATACAAAAGCCTGGAGTGGACGCTTGGGAAATGAGGAAGCTGTGCTCCACCAAAATTTTATCGCAGTTTCTCTTCGGGGTTTGAAGACTCTGCTCCCAGCAGTACCTCTGCGGGGCGAAAAGACACGAAAGCTCTCGCAGATGCGCAACAATTGTGTGTTTCACGCCTTCCGCTGCAGCTCCCCCTCCGGGGGCTGGGGCTCTTCCTCCCACCTCCACACAGCAGTGCCGACGTGCTTCACGGTGGTGATCGGCGTGAGGGCCATCGTATTTATGCGATAAAACACGAGAAACCCTCCCCCTTTTCTTTTTATTCTAAGCAGTGCAGCCTCCGAATTCGGCATGATGCATCATAATTGGTAGTGTTCTCACTCCCTCATAACCTCTATCAAAAGTTGACACTGGCAAAAAGTAATTTTGCTGCTTTTTTATGGAGGGGAAGGTATCACATTTTGTAATACTCCTGTTGGCATCATTTCTTTTCCTAGTTCCTCTCAATCCATCTGCTCCAGCAGAGTGGGGTACTCCTCGCAACCTGCCAGATGGTTGAAGCGACCACAAAATACAGGCTTTTCCCCATTTTATTCGATTGGTCTCGGAGAATTTTCCTTTGATGCGCCTCTACACCTCGGTATAATCACACACAACCAAACAAAAACAAAAGCAAAGATTTTTTGGCTCGCAGCAAACGAGGCCTTTTGTGGAAACCCACTGCTTGCGTTGTTTGCACCACGCAATGTGCTCTTTAACCGTAGAAGCTGTGCGTGCACAAAAGACACGTGCATTCCCATGGCTCCCAACGGGAACAATTCACCTCGGCACAATTTCCACCACTGTATCCCTCGGACTGTCCTTTCGTTTCTAAGAGAGATCTGCAAGAGGGTTCAAGAATAAACGCAGAAAAAAAAAAATCAAGGACGCATTTGTTCAGTTTCACCGCTTGATCGGTGCAACGGTTTGGCGTGGCCCGCCTCTCACCCGGCAATAAAACACAGATGCACACAAGCATCTTCAGATAACACCCTCATTTTTTCCCCCAGCGTATCAAAGGATGGCTAAAAAGGCGTATCGAATGAAAAACGTGTGTGCAGCGGGCACGATTCGCACTCCATGAATTCTCTACATCTCCATGAATAAACTCTCACGACTACGCAAGAAATTCCGCCCCATACAGCAATGCTTGGTCTCCTTTTTTAATTCTGGTATGCTCAAAAAGAAAAAAGAAAAGCAAAGGTGGCGGCGTTCCGGCACACCAGATGAGGGCAAAAAGAAAGACTCCTATCCTTCACTCCACCAGACCCTTCCAATAGACATCACCAGTCTTTCAACGACTATCTCGCAAAGGCTGCTACGTGTGGAGTTGTGCCGTTATTGCTTCGCTCCCCCCGACGCATCCTCACAGGGCGCTGCAGTCATGATACTGTCCGCCAGTCACAAGGGACACAACAGAGGCAGCTGGTCCAAGCGACCGGTGTCAGCCCCTCCTCCCCTCCCCTCCCCTCCCCCTGTGAGGAACGGGAGAAAGAGACAGGGAAAAAGCAAGAAAAGGGCGTGGAAACAAAAAGGGCGCTCACATGGAATCGAGAAAACAAGTGACGCTCAATCCAGAATGGGACACGGAACCGGTTTTCAAGATAATTCCTCGAAAAAAAAAACTGTAGGGTTACCCGCCAAACGCAACTGCTGCAGAGATGCCTCAATTAAAACTAATAACACGTTTTTGTACTTTTGAACTTGTCGTTGGTCGTCTCACGGGCTGTACAAACGTCTTGCAGAGCTCCTGGAAGAAGGGCATCTCCCTCAGCGTCGTCCTCCAGATCAAAAGCCAAAGCACCATAATGAAGGTGCATCCCACGCCAAGCGTAATAAGCACACACGACACGCTGAGTATGACATCGCTCAACTCGCCAGTGATGGTAAACATTCTACAGCGTTCTAAATGACGGAGGACACGGACTGAAGCAAAAAAAAAAAAAAAATTTCACACCGTGTATGCAGGAAAGCATTCAAATAATAAAAAACAGAAGAAACAGCAAAAAAAAAAAAAAGGAACCCCCGTCCTCCTTCGACCCCACCCCACCCCAAACGTAATGAAGATTCTTCACAAAATACAGTCTTCTCGGTGAGTCAATATTAATTATTGACGCAGCTGGACTCGACTCACGAAGACGAGGGGGTGGAGGGACGCTCGCTGCTTGGCCTCAATTGAGATGCATTCAAAGAAGAGAGTTGAAAGCACTCATCAACACGGCTTGTAAGTGAGCCAAGTGCGTGTGCATTCGTAAACGTCTTCGTTTGACTAAAGTAGGGGTCTTGCAATAGCTCCTCTGCGGTCGGTCTTTTAGTCGGAACACGATTGCAACACCGCATAATTATTTCCTTCTCTTGCGCTGAAATTTGCTCGTCTAGTTGAGGTACAAAATTTTCATTATGCCCCACGTTGTAGCAGAAGGTCTGAGGTGTCATTTCCTCCATGTTTGGCCAGGGAAGCCTGCCACTTAACATCTGCGCCATCATAATGCCAAAGCTCCATATATCGGATGCCTTCTCCGCCCTGCCTCGTGCAGCTTCAGGGGCGATGTACGGTGGAGTTCCCTCCGGCTGGCCGCTGTTACAAGCTTTCAATAGACATTTTGACGTCCCAAAGTCACTCAACTTACACAGACCTGTTTCCAGCAAAAGAACATTTTGTGGTTTAATGTCTCGGTGAACAATGTCTTCCCGATGCAAATACACAAGTCCCTTCAAGACATCCCGCAGGTACCGTTTTGCCTGATCGACCTTAAACTTTGTGAACTTGTGCAGCATGTTGTAAAGACTCCCACCACTTGCAAACTCCATTACAACAAGCAGTTTAT